AAAAAATGCTCAACATCGTATGTCATTAAGGAACTGCAAATTATAACAACAGTGAAATACCACTTCACACCTATTAGAATGGTCAGCATCCAAAACTGACAACACCAGATGCTGACGAGGATGTGGAGCAATAAGAACTTTCATTCATTGCTGATGGGAACGCAAGATGGTTCAGTCCCTTTGGAAGACAAGTTGGCAGTTTCTTACAAAATTAAACATACTTTTACAATACAATCCAGCAATCACACTCCTTGTTATTTACCCAAATGAGCTGAAAACTACGTTCACAAACAAAAACTTGCACACGGATGTTTATAGCAACTTTATTAATAATTGTCAAAACTTGGAATCAACCAAGATGTCCTTCAGTAGGTGAATGAATAAATAAACTGTGGTACTTCCAGAAAATGAAACATTATTCAGCAGTAAAAAGAAAGGAGCTATCAAGCTATAAAAAGACAATGAGAAACCTAAAATACATATTAATATCAGTGGTTTCCATGGGTTAGGGGGGAAGGAGGGATGAATTGGTGGACTACAGAGGAACTGTAGGGCAGTAAAACCTATTCTCTATGATACTATAATGGTAGATACCTGTCATTATACATTTCTCCAAACCCACAGAATGTACAACCTGTGTAAAATGTTGTAACCCTAATGTAAAATATGGTCATAAATTGAATATGATGTATTGATGTAGGTTCATCAATTATAACAGATATGCCACCCGAGTACAGGATGTTGGTTGTGGGGAAGGTTGTGCATACGTGTGGGCAGGAGGTTTATAGGAAATCTGTGTACTTTCCACTTAATTTTACTGTGAACCTAAAACTGCTCTAAAAAATAAGCTATTTAGGGCTTCCCTGGTGGCGTAGTGGTTGAGAATCTGCCTGCTAATGCAGGGGACATGGGTTCGAGCCCTGGGCTGGGAGGATCCCACATGCCGCGGAGCAACTGGGCCCGTGAGCCACAACTACTGAGCCTGCGCGTCTGGAGCCTGTGCTCCGCAACAAGAGAGGCCGCGATAGTGAGAGGCCTGCGCACCGTGATGAAGGGTGGCCCCCACTTGCCACAACTAGAGAAAGCCCTCGCACAGAAACGAAGGCCCAACACAGCAAAAATAAATAAATTAATTAATAAACTCCTTCCCCCAACATCTTCTTTAAAAAAAAAAAACCTATTTAACAAATAGACTGGGAAGCTCTGCTCTGCAGACTTGTATCCTCTCCTTCATCTCCCACTACTTATGCTTCATACACTCTACACCCACTACACTGAACAGTGATGGTTCACCAAACATAATGGGCTCTTTCACATCCCTTCAGCTTGTCTCAAGTTGCTCCCTTTGCCTGTGAATCCTGCCTTTCTCTTTCCCTCCCTTGCTGCCTCACCACACAAGCCCTTTTATTTATCCTTGTCAGGTCTCAGCTTAAAGGTCATCCCTTCTGTGAGGTCCTCCCTGATCTCTAGTTTGGGCCGTTCTTCACCGTCTCCTCCTCAGACCCCAGTATGGTCTCCCACAGCACCATACTAGTAATTGTCTGTTTTAAGGGTTTATCTTCCCAGCCAAACTGAGTTCCAAGTGCAGGGGCCACATACAATTTACCATGAATCCCCAGCGGCTAGCAAGGGTCTGGCATAAACCAGGTGCTCAGACAATGAATGAAGAAAGGAATAAATGACCAGGCCCCAAACTCAACCTGGCAAGGAGTCTAAGGAATCAGCCTAAGACATGCAAATTCTCTCCAGAGCAGGAATAAAGGTTTCATTTTTACCAGCTCTGACCTGACCTACACAATCCTGTTTTAAAACCTGCTCTATGGGAGCTTCGCACACTGGCCAAAAGATATTCTGAAGTCCTTGTGCCTCCAGGGACCCAGCACAACCCTGATGAAAGGCAGCAAAATGGGGGGACAAACAAGAAGATCTAGAGTCCAGGCCAGTTTTGCCTCTACCACACCATATAGTCCAGGTGTTCATCTCTCTTATCTGAACCATGGAAAGAATGGACTAGATGATTTTTTTATTATTGAAGTAAATTGACTTACAGTATTAGTTGCAGGCCTACAACAAAGTGATTCCATATTTTTACACATTACAAAATGATCACAACAATGAGTCTGGTTACTATCTGTCACCATACAAAGTTATTACAATATTATTCGCTATATCCTCTAGGCTGTACATTACATCCCCAGGACTTACGTATTGTATATCTGGAAATCTATCTGGTCTAATGTGTCATTTAAGGCCAGTGTTTCTTTATTGATTTTTCTGTCTAGATGATCTGTCCATTGAGATAAGTGGGGTGTTAAAGTCCCTTACTATTACTGTGCTACTGTCAATTTCTCCCTTTATGTTTGTTAATATTTGCTTTATGTATTTAGATGCTCCTATGTCAGGTGCATATATATTTAGAATTGTTATATCTTCTTGTTAGATTGATTCTTTTTTTTTTATATTTCACTTAATTTTTATTCTCAAGTTACCTATTTTTATTCAATGTGTCAATAATAGTTTAAATTTATTGATGTATTTATGAAGCTTTATGCTCATTATTTCTTTTTGAATCTCATTCCTTTATTCTAGCTCAAGCTTTGTCTCCTGAAATGTAACCCTTTGATATAGATTTTTTAACATCTTTATTGGGTATAATTGCTTTACAATGGTGTGTTAGTTTCTGCTTTATAACAAAGTGAGTCAGCTATACATATACATATATCCCCATATCTCCTCCCTCTTGCGTCTCCCTCCCACCCTCCCTATCTCACCCCTCTAGGTGGTCACAAAGCACCGAGCTGATCTCCCTGTGCTATGTGGCTGCTTCCCACTAGCTACCTATTTTACATTTGGTAGTGTAGATTGATTCTTTTATCATTATATAATGTCCATCTTTGTCTCTTGTTACAATTTGGCATTATACGTGTCGCTACCCTTGCGTTTTTTGTTTCCATTTGCATGCAATAACTTTTTTCCATTACCTCACTTTAGGCTGTGTCTTTAGATCTGAAGTCAGCTTCTTATAGGCAGTGTATATATGAGTCTTGTTTTTTTAATCCATTCAGCCACTCTGTCTTTTCACTGGAGCATTTAGTCCATTTACATTTAAATTGATAAGTATGTACTTATTGACATTTTATTCATTGTTTTCTGGGGTTTTTTTTAGTACTTTTTATTCCTCTCTTCTTCTTTTGCTCACGTTCCCTGTGGTTTAGTGTTATGTGTGGATTCCTTTCTCTTTTTTCTGTGTATCTATTATAGATTTTGGATTGTGGTTACATTGAGGTTCTTATATAACAACATATATGTATATATAGTGCTGATCTTAAGGTGATGATCTCTTAAGTTCAAATGCATTCCAACAAGCCTGCATTTTTACCCTGCCCACTTTAATTTTTTTTACATAATATTTTATTCCTTTGGTTTTATGTGTCCCTTAACCTCTTACTGACTGTGGATATAGTTGATTTTACTATTGATACTTCTGTCTTTTAATCTTCCTACTAGCTATAAGGGGTTGATCTATTACTTTTACTGTATATTTGCCTTTGCAAATGAGATTTTTTTTTCTTGCTTAATTTTTATGTCTCTACTTGTGGTCTTTTTTTCCACTTAGAGAAGTCCCTTTAACATTTCTTGTAAAGCTGGTTTAGTGGTGCTAAACTCTTTTAGCTTTTCTCATCTGTAAAACTCTTTATTTCTCCTTCAAATTGGAGTGAAAGCCTTACCAGGCAGAGTATTCTTGGTTGTAGTTTTTTTCATTTCATCATTTTGAATACATAGTGCTACTCCCTTCTAGCCTGCAAAGTTTCTACTGAAATTCAGCTGGTAGTCTTTGGGAGTTCCCTTGTACATAGCTAGATGCTTTTCTCTTGCTGTTTTCAAGAATCTCTATATTTAAATATTTTGGCCATTTTAATTACAATATGTCTTGGTGTGAATCTCTTTGGGTTCATCTTGTCTGGGACTCTCTGTGCTTCCTGGACCTGGATGTCTGTTCCTTTCCCCAAGTTAGGGAAGTTTTCAGCTATTATGTCTTCATGTAACTTCTCTGCCCCCTTTTCTCTCTTTTCTTTTCCTGAGACCCCTATCATGTGACTGTTAGTGTGCTTGATGTCTTCCCAGAGGTCTCTTAAACTATTCGTATTTTTTAAAACTCTTTTTATTCTTTCTGTTCAGCTTGAGTGATTTCCACTCTTCTGTCTTCCAGTTCACTGATCTTTTCCTCTGTATCATCTATTCTACTGTTGCTTCCTTCTTGTGCACTTTTTATTTCAGTTACTGTGTTCTTCATCTCTTTTGGTTCTTCTTCATATTTTCTAAGCCTTTGTTAAACTCTCGCTGTGTTCATCCGTTCTTTTCCCAAGTTTGTTGTGCAGCTCTATGATCTTCACCTTGAACCCTTTATGGGATTGATTGCTTATCTCCACTTCACTTAGTTTTTCTTCTGGGGTTTATCTTGTGTCTTCATTTGGAATGTATTCCTCTGTCTACTCATTTTGCCTAATTCTCTGTGTTCTTTTCTGTGTATTACATAGGTCCGTTACACTTCCCAGTTTTGGAGAACTGACCTTATGGAGGAGATGTCCTTTGGGGTTCCCCTCTGGTCACCAGAGCTAAATGCTACA